AGGGTCCAAGTCCAATTTGTCTGCTCTTTCTTGAGTAAAGTGGATGCCTGTAACAAAGTCAGGTGGATGGGTTGGCAGTGTAGGCATGCCAGCCAAGGGGTCATCAGGCAACTGTTGCATTATTCTATATTTGGGGGGTATAGAAGTTTGTACTATATGGACTTTCTTTGCAACTGGCTTGTAAATCAGCATGTGTCAGGTCTTATTAAAAAAATATACACTGTTAAATGTGTTGACAGACATGCAATCAATAACTAAATGAGTAGAGATGAGATGGGTATAGCACACTGAGAACTGCTCAGTAGAAAACAAAAATGAGTCATGTTTGCTCTGTAAGAGTGAGTGATGTGTGGATGGCATAAGATGATAGTTAGAACTAGGAAGTAATGTATTAGGACATGAAATGAGAGAGGGGCAGGTGAGTATGAGTCCATTTGTCTGCTCATGGTATAAGCTAATCATCAATCATCAAAAACCCTTCTTGTGATCACTAGATGGTGGGTGCAACCCTTTTTTGCATTCTGGGCACCTCTTAACCCAGCAATTGGTAGGGATGCAGATTACTTTTCCTGAGTTCAGGTCAGTTAGAGTGATATCCTGCTCCCCATTAGATAGATCTTCTGTGTGACAACTGGTGAGTGTAAAGAATGGGCAACCTAGCAAGATCTCAAAGTCAGCAGTCAGGACAACTTGAACCTAGAACAGCATTTCTCCAATGCTGAAGTCTAGCAGAAGATTTACTATAATGCCAAGTGTCTCATTGGTAGAGGTATTGACCAATTCCATGACTAGTTGCTCATGTTGGCCTGTATCATCATGCTCTCTGGGGGCTTGAGTATTCAATGCAGCGAGAACAGAAGTTAGATATGTCCCATCAAGCATCCCATGAGCATAAAAATCTTGACATAATGCAGTCAACTTGTCCAGGCACTGGTTGGTCACAAGTGTTTGGCCTAGTGCTTTCTAGCAACTGGATTGCCTCCATGGTTCCTTCACAGCTTTGATGTGCCTACTTTCTATGATAGATGAACAAAGTCCATTCAGTGCACCAAAAAGGTGAATGAGGATGTTGTAATGCTTTATTAAATGTTGGCGAGGGAGTGAGAAGGTTGAAATTACATCAGAGTCCTTGAAGATCTCGTGATACTAATGAAAATGAGCAAATGTATCATTGATTTCTTTGAGAGATGTCTCTGTGATGATGTTGCAGCAGACAAGGTAAGAAAACTCAAGGAGTGCATGGAATGCATGGATGATATCCATTGGGACATAGCCTTCAAGTGCTGGCAAGTATACCTGAATGGTGTTAGCTCAAAAAAAAACAGAATTAAATAAGATGAAAGATGAATATCTTTATAAGGGCTTGAGTCATCCCCAGTCCACTGTTTGAAGTTGCATCCTTAAGGAAATCTGTGCAATCCTGAAAATGCAGGTGCTGCTGCAATTCTGTTCAGAATGCTAGTAAGCCTGATTGTTCATAGTTAATATTGTGTTTGACATACCTTCTATCAATATCATCAAGTATGATATCAGCTCATGCTTGACCATGTGTCATCACAAGGTATTTTTCAACCTAGGTGACCAAGTGATCTTTGAAGGCCTCCTTTATAATTTGATGGAGGAGATCTGGTACAATGAGTTCATGTATGTTGGCTCGAGGGTAATAATTTCTGAACAGCTATATGAATAGGTTAATTTTGAGTGAAATAGATGCACTGAGACTTACCACAAGTTGGGCAATAATCCCATACCATCTCATGGTCATACTCTTTGATTAGTGTGTCAGTATGAACTCTTGAATGCAGGAGATTATCATTGTTGAGAGCTTTGCTATTTGAAGTACATCTACAGCAGAATTAGATTCAATACATACAATGAGGAAGCAGTAAGTACTTACTTTGCACACCAAGATCAGACTATGCATGCAAGTAAAAATTGTTTCTCATAGTCTACAATATACAGACCAAGTCCATAGATTATACAGCAAGAATGGCCATCGTCAAAGTGCATGACTTCAGGTTTTGTCATCCCTGGCTTCAAGTTCTGAAGTATAAATGAAAGCAATAAATGACACAGTTGGTCAGACAATCACAGTTTTAACATGTTGTTTGGTTGCTATAAAAATTGCAAGGTTGATGAAGTCATGCAGTTGAAAAGGAATGTACTCTTTGGCATTGCTAGAAATCCAACTACTGCAAGTATGCTACGGTGAGCACAACACATGTTATTCTGAACATTTCCTATGGATGCATATAAGTGGGTAATAGTCATTTTGTCCAGTGGCGACTGATACTGTGATTTTGTCACTGCCAAGGATTATGGGCATGAATGTCAAGCCATAAGTATCCAGATCATTAGCAATTCAATCCTGTGCATAACTGATCATGGTAGGGAGTCCAATCATCAGCACTTTTCTCTGAAAATGGCAAAGGCAGAGCTCCTGGCAGAAGAAAATTCCCTTCAGGATCACATGGATGACCTTTGAAGATCAAGTGTATTAGATAAAAAATGCGAAAACTAAAGGAAATGTACCAGTCAAACTAGGGTAGTAGTTTCTATAGAAGTGATTACCAGCACTGAAGAATTCTGCAGGTGTGGGTGATTGTACAGAATGAGGGATCTCAGAATGGTCCTCTTCACCAGCACCATCAGATTGTACAGAATTGACATCTCCATTGAAGATAGGCAAAGGTGATCAATTGAACTGAGACAGATCATCTAGATGTGACCAACTACTAGTAGACTGAGATGGTTCCACATGTAAGGGTGCAGCACTAAGCAAAGGATGTACTGCATTTGTATGCTGTGTGCATCCAGATTTGTTCTTGAACCAGTGGTTACATCCTGGTTTGGTGCAGGGAATGTGGAGGATGCTAAAATCTCATCTAGTGTGTGACATGGCAAAGATGGTAACTAGAAGATAGCAGCAAAAAATACATTTTCAGTACACAAATGAGTAGCACACAACTGATGGATATATGTCAAGGAGAGCAAAAAGCTCATGAGGCACTTACCAAATGTTGAATTTTCTCATCAATCCCCATTGTATTCCTCATATCTGACTGTCTTGCTATTACTGCTTTCCTGTCTGGTATGATTTCTACTCACCCTAAAAATACAATACAGCATCCTGGTGAAATTGTGAAGCAAACTATGAAGAAATGATGCACAGCAAAAGAGATTGCAGTGGACAACCAGTGGACCAGAGAAGTGCAGGAAGTACAACAATTAGCCACTCAAGACAGCATTAATCATGTTGCAGAAGTGGAGGCATCAATGGAAATAGAGCAGGCAGGAGCAATAGCAAAGGTGATACCTGTAAAGCTTTATCCAAGGCCAGTCAAACAGAAGCCACGTGTCACTGAAGATGCCCCTTCAAAGAACCGCAGCATATTAGGAACTCAGACCAGTTTCTAGTCTAAAGGTGACCATACCTTGAAAAGCAGCACTGATAATATGGGCACAGATGGTGATTGCAAGCTCAAGCTGGAGTCTGAGGCAAAGCCAAAGAGCATGAAGAAAGAGAATCTTTTATTATATGAGGCTGTCAGTGCCATGAGGTTAAAGAAGCAGAATGAGAACTTGGATCAGCCTGATGATCTGATCAAGGTTGACTAGCCTGGGAGATCTGTTGATGGCAAGGCACATGGCCTTGACAAGAAAGGAAAAAAATATCAAGTCAGTGACATTCTATCTCACACTGTTGTGGTGTTCAAACTCAGGCTAAGCTTGCAATACCTGATTTTCATATAGATGTCAAACTATCAAGGAACTACCTCCCATATATCTTTCATCACTTTCCAAATTTGGCCAGAACCTTTGACCAAGTCATCAGCTGCATACCCCACGCCATCGTTGGCCAACCCAGCCGCGGTCTGTTGCGTTCCTGTGCCCTGCATGCTTTAGGATGGTCAGTAATATGCAAGGGCACTTCCTACTACATTTCCCTTGCATCTACCACATATCCAATCATGCCTGATGTTTTGTGCAGCTGCATCGGCTGTTCCTGCATACCCGAACCTGTTCCTGCATGTCCAGACCATTACTATGCATCCATATAACCTTCAGCCAAGTTCCCATGCCATCCAACCACTCAGAACCCATTTTAGGAAAGCCCCATGTCAATTCCATGTCAATTCAAACCCTACTGGTACATGTTTTTACTTGCCTCATGTTTGTAATAAGGGTTGCAACCTTATTACATGTTCTTACATGTTTCTACTATTCCTATCCCTTCCAAGTCCGAGAGGATTTAGCTAGTATAAAAGAGCCTATAGTGACAACTTCATCATTACTTCCCTTCAGTGGTATTTCCTTCCCTTTGGTTTTACTTTGAAGTGGTCACCCATTAGGTTCCATTCTTAGCCCCTATTGGTTACCTAATACCTAGACATTATACCTAGCCTTTCCTTAACCTTGTAATTCAATCCCTTGAGACCTAGTCCCTCTCTATCACATTCCTTACTTGTCTGCTTTGCATCAGCCAAGTTTACATGCCATTTCCATTGGCTTCAGCCATTCCCATGCTCCGGTGTGGTGTTCAAACTTTCTGTAGCCTTGCGGAGGCAGTTTTTACTATGCATCTCTTATTAATACTTTCTTTAGATTAGGTTTGCACTTTTGCTGCTTACATAATGAATTCACTCTTTACCTAGGACTCTACAGTCATTACCTAGTTTCCTTGTTTCCAGTTCTTTGGTTGCTTCCCATTCACTTGGGTTATTCAGTAGCATCCCCTAGTTGTAGCTTTCCTAGTTGTAGCTTCTCAGCTCACCAGATAGCTCCTGGAACATAGTTTTCTTACCTTGACTTGGGGTACCTTCCTCACTCTCTTTCCTTGAGCCTGAGCCTAGTCAGAGATCCTTTAGGATTGAATGTTCTTGCTAGCAGGAGTAGCAGCTAGGCAGAGCAGGAGACTCATATATTTTGGTTTGGTGCTTTTACCTACAGCCCAGCCAAAACTTGTTCACCACACTGGATACCTTTGGACCTGTTCCCACATGTCCAGTCTACACCTACCTACATTTCTGCATCCTTATTTCATAGCTGTTCTCAGATGCAGAGGAAAATTGAGGAAGTTGCAGGTGAGTTGGGACTTCAAGTTGAAGACAACTCAATTGATTACAAGGATGGAGATGATGTGATGGAGTTCAAAGATGACACTATGGAGTTCAGAGACAATGCTATGAAGCTTGACAGCAAGATATTCTCCCATTGCCAAGGTTTTAAAGGGAACTAACAGTGTAGGTTGCACTACTACAGCAGTAAGTCACTCTTTTTCAGCAGCATCCATCCTAACAATGTGACAGACAAGTGTAATGGCCATCAAGAAACTATTGGTCCTGCAGTCAGCCAAGAAGGCTAGATCAGAGCCAGCTACTACCCAAACTTTGACGATAATGACAAAGGTACCATGCCCAGCCAAAAAGGTCAAATCAGAGCTCACTTCCAAAACCTTGACAATAGCAGCTGTTCCTGCTGTGCAAGAGTCCATGCTGGCAGACATGGCAATCAAACCTGTAGCAGGCAATGGTCAGTGGCAAAACAGACCTCCCACCTATGCTAACAGAAAATGAATCTTGGTGTAGGCCATTTGTTCTGACAGTTCTCCTTTGGGAAGGTAGCCAGTCAATTGGACAATTGGGGCTGCCGATTTGCTGTGTGCCATGCAGGCCATATGCAACACAATGTATCCTGGAGTCAAGTACAATATTCAACCCAGGGGCCCTATCATGGGTGTGGTGAGTGTTATCCACATCCATACTTTTATTTACAGTCTTGATCATAAATTCAAAGATTACTCAGCGCTCATGTACTTGGTGCAGCAACTTTGGTTTTACTGCTATTGCACTGATCACTAATTTTTGGGCATCCTTAAGGGAAAGTGAGAATGAGAATGTTGACAGCAGAGAGAAATTCATGACATAGATGGCAGCCTCCCTCCTTGAAGGCTATGTCTTTCTGTTCACAGACCCAAATACCTGCAAGGCCTCTGAGATTTACCGCTCTGTGTTCATGTTGCAAATGATTGCAATGACACATCTTAACACAGTTGCAGGCTTCATTGATGTACTAGAGCTTGACATGTGTGCTCTGTCTTCAACAAGGACGGATGTGTGATTGGCACTTGTGCTGTTGCTGTAAGTCCCATCTGTAAATTTGAACAATAGCTAATAATCACTATTTTATTGGCAGCTCAAACATGCTTTGAAATCAGTCACAGAAAAGGAGAAGAAGAGCACCGATCTCAAAACCCCCCTCAAGATCAATAAATCTACCAGCAAGGAAAGCAGCACTCCACTGGCCTTTTCCAAGTTGAACTGGGGTCAATTCATGACAGATTACCACTTGTCCATTGTAAAGCACGGCCCGAAATATATGACAGATACAATTGCAATGGCCTATCAATTTGTTAAGAATTTGGGTTCAGATGCTAGTACCAAAGGTTCTCTTGCTGACAACAGTGTTGCATCTTCCAGGGGTGAGCAGGCACTACTCTGTGAGTATTTTTTTGACTTTGTTCTGTGCCTCATTGACGTATTTCACCAGAATATCTCTTCTATGATGTCTTTTTGCAATCATTTGCATTCTCTAAGCCGCACCTACTACACTCATACTCATATACTAATGCATCAATCCACATAAATGTCCCTGTTACAGGCTTTCTTTCTCCTTTTTCCTTCCTTTTTGCACATTTTATCACCTGCTTATTCTACTTTTTTTGATGATATTATGCTTTTGAAATAAGCATTCATAAAAATAAGTCGGAAAAGGTCGCGAAAAGCTCAGAATGAATAGAGGGACCTACTTAAATAAATCGGCTCCAACTTTTCAATGTTCGCATGGCTTGGTGGGGAAAAAATGGCTATAAGTGGTAAAAAGGAAAACTCGGAATTTACTGATGCCGTGATTAGCACCATGTTGGGAATTAAGGTTTCCCCCCCTCTCGTGTTTATCCTTCTTTCCGTTACCCGATAAGCCCCCCCAACATTTCCCCCTACCATTACTTGACCCCAATTTATAGTGCTATGTAGCCGTCACACTTTTGTTTGTCGAGCCCCACAAGTAAACGAGGGGCACAAAATGGCATCTGGTCTATTGATACGAAAGGAGCGGTAACATGTCTGGACTCCAGAGTCTCATCATGATCATAGCTATGGCCCATGGGGTTGCTGGTCTAGCAATGCGAAGGGTCTCATACATGCATTTTGTTTCACGAAAAGCGTTAGATAGGGATAGACACATCTACAATTCTATCATGATACAGAGCGACCAACCAGTCGACTTTTCCTTTCCAAGCAAAGACAACCTCAGACAACTACAATTTTACGCTGCAGCAGTAACAGCCTCTGGCTGCTGACGTTCTCTCGAGGTCTCGCGGTGCTGCTGGAGCAATCGGTCAAGGGCTTCCTTTTGACCGACTGCAAGCTCTCCAGACTGGATGCCGGAGTGGTATATACGCAGCAGGGAGTCGACATCATCCATGGATTGGGTGCGGACATCAGCGAGCTCCTTGATCTTGGCAGTTGCATCCTTGACCTATTACAATCGCATTAGTGAAGTGTGGAAGGACGAGGCAAAGATAATATAGCGGACCTGGTCGTCGGTGAGGTTGAGTCCGAGTTGCTCAACTCTTGACTTGACAGCGTTCCAACCAGTGAGACGGTGTCTAATGGCAAACATCAACCTCTATCACGAGTCATGGACGACCAGAAAAGGTACGTACCCAATCGACACATATCGGGTGAGCCCAAAGTCCTCAGGCTTCAAAATTTCGTATGTGCTGGGGTTGTTCAAGATTGCCTTGGCATGAATACCAGCCTTGTGCGTGAAAGCACAGTAGCCGGTGATTGGGTTCATGAAAGGCACGTTGACCTCTACTGCCTCTGCGACGAGGTTTTCAATCTCGCGCAACATGGGGAGATTGTACTTGGCCTTGACGTATTCAGGGTTGGCAGCATACAGGCACGCTACGAGACCACCGAGAGGCGTAATACCTACACGCTCGCCAATGCCAAGGACCGCTAAGAGAAATTTAGCCGCTACCAGTGAGGAGAACACGAAGATACGTACAGGTATCGATGTGTGTTGCGCCAGCCTCCAATGCGCAATAGGCGTTAGCGATGGCCATTCCGGTGTCATTGTGCAAGTGAATCTCGATATCACAACCAACGACGCCACGGAGGGTACGAACGAGGTCGTAAACTTGTCTGGGGTTCGCGCATCCGACGGTGTCGGCTATGCCCACACGGTTGACACCGATCTTGTCGACGGTCTGGTATATGGAAAGCAGATCGACAAGGTCCGAGCGGAAGGAATCTTCTGAGGAGAAGCGGACTTCGATGCCCTTGGACTTGACAAATGTGATGACTTCGATGGCGGTCTTAGTGATGTACGTCATGTCTTTTCCGTGGGAGAATTCGCGCAGGAACGAAGATGTTCCAATCACGACATCGACACCGTCGACACCTACGGATGCAAATGAGTCAAAAGATAGGGTGGAAGCGCTGTGGAGCTCACCAGTTTCGACAGCGATCCGGGCATCGTCCATGTGACAACGAATGTGGGTAAGAATCTTGGCCTTGAGACCGAGCTTGCAGATGGCCTCGCAGTCAGCGCGTGACTGCTCAGATGCAGCGGGAGAAGTGAGCTCGATGTACTCGACACCGAATGCATCAAGAGCCTTGGCGATGGCGATTTTTGTTTTGGTATCGAAGAAGGCGTTGGCAAACTGCTCACCCTCTGCTACACTGGTCAAACTGGGCCAAAGTGCCAAAAAAAACTTGCAAGACGTACCTCGAAGAGTACTCTCGATGATGGAGAAATTCGATATGTTGTTTAGAAAATCTGACGCGCGTGGTCCATACGGATTCTTGTGTTGTGCTTCACTGAGCTGGACGTTACGTCCACTGGCACCGTTCGCGCCGTTGATTCCGTTGGCACTACCATTCAGGCCGTTGGCACCGTTGACATGGATCATCTGAGTCTTGTCAGGCATCGGTAAGGATTCTGTATTTCCATGTGAGCAGGAGTTGCAAGGCATTTTATAGTGTGTTGACGGGATAATCCAAGGAGAGATCTTAAAGATATAAATAGCAACGACAGTCAAAACGAGTCACGATCGATCACAAGTTGAAGGTATAGCTGAATCAGGCTCTATTGCTGGTCTGCGAACCCGCAACTTCAAACCCAGCCCAGCCCGACGTCAAGCCACTGAGAATTTCCCTTGTCCCGTGTCCCGTATCCCTGGTCCCTGTTCCCTTGTCCTGGTCCCTTGTACCTTGTCCCGTGTACCGTATCCCTTGTACAAACAGAGAATAAATAAGTCTTGAAGTCTCAAAATTGAGGAATAGGGAGACTGGCTGGTCTCTCGATTTGGCACTACCTATCACTCGCCTGCATCGGCTGAACCTTGCTTGTCATATTCATCAAGTAGCGCCGTGATCTAGGACAGGCTAATGGAAATAGAGCAAAAGCGAACGAACGGCGGAAGAATATGACAAAAGATAACGAAGGTAGTGACAGGCTCTGCATAGAACAAACACATTACACTTGATCGTCATCCATGTCATGTTTGACGATAAGTCGACGTTGGAATTGCTGTACCTCTGATTGGACCAAACAAAATAGCAACCAATCGAATGTCTGTCATTTGTCGGAGTGGCGTCTTGAGAGACCTATAGGGGTTCAAACTTTCGCGGGCGGAACTTTCGACTTAGGGGTGATGCGTACGTCAATTGCTATAGTCCGAACGTTCAATCGTCAAGTCGTGCTTTACTAACACTCGTCCAGATAACACTCATCTAGATATGGCATCCCTGTGCCAGCATGATATCGCTTTCCTCCATATCAGCAAGCCACTGCGGTAAGTATGGCAACAATTTCCTGCGTCAGATATCGACGTTTGCATTCAGTTTCTCTCCTGAGGATCGCAGACCTCAGCATTTTCCTCATCTCCAGGCTCTGGTTGTCGTGGTAGCTGAGGAGCGCGCTGACTCCACGGAGCGCAACGACATTATAGCGCACCTTCGTGTGCGAGATAAGGAAGGATGTAACGAAATGTCAGTCCGTGACAATTGCTGTGTAGTTTGGTAATGGATAGGCTACCCTTCAGTGTTCAGTTACAAGGAGTGGCTACTGCAGAGTCGCTGCTACCCACCACTGCAAACATATGCAAGCAGTCTTGTAATGTCAGATTCTCATAGACATACCTGGTCTGTTGATAAGACCGGAGACATAACCATGTCATGTCGGGGTTGAGCAAATTTTTGGATGACACTAAGCGCGTAGGAGTAAGGCGAGAGGTCTCATTCCAGCGTTTTTGCAGATGACCAATCCCCCGAGTGATTGTGTGGGTAGTATCATATGAGAGCAAACATAGAGAGGACATGAATAATGCAATAACACCTGTCTAACCCCGTTTCTTCTTCGACACACCGACCGTTTTCCCCCGCGACGGCCTGTACTACGCTTCAAAAAAGAGATAGCGGAAAGCGGAAACGAGTAGCTTACCAGTAGTTTTTTGTGTGCTGACCACGTACCCGCAGGCCCCAGAAGTGTCTGAGACCACGGTGGGCCCGAATCTTCTTCAATCGCTCGAGGTCATCACGCAACTTCGAATCGACACCGTTGGAAAGGATTTGCGAATCCTTGCCATCTACAATGTCCTTCTGTCTGTTCAGGAACCATGTGGGAATTTTGAATTGAGTGGGATTTTGGATAATCGTGACAATACGCTCAAGCTCGTCAGAGTTCAATTCACCGGCACTATACAATTATATGAGCGAGTTGCACACCAGAGTGGAAGTACATACCGCTTGTTGAGATCAACATCTGCCTTCTTGCAAACAAGGTTGGAATAACGACGTCCAACACCCTTGATCTCCGTCAGAGCGTACATAATCTTGCGCTTTCCGTCAACATTAGTGTTGAGTAGACGGAGAATGTGCTGTGGATGGCATAAATCGAAAGCAGATGCAAGGCCTAAGACAAACGGACCTGGAACTGCTGGTGTGCTTCAGGAACAACGAGGGACATGGTTGCGATCTGCAAGTGGAGATTCCATAAGTCTGTTATCCAAAAGGGAATCCATCCATCCAGCGGAAACCTGGTCTCAAAATCTTCTGATTCTTCCCAGCCAAGCAAAGTGCCTCCTAACGAATTGGTGCGTGCATGAAAATGGGCTCACCTTCGTTCAATCGTTCCTCAGGGTAGCCTTGACGCTGGGTATGACAGTGAGCGATGGGTGAATGCTGAGACACAATTTCCCGGCAAACTCCGCTATCCGCGATCACGTGGCCTGTCGCGTGTTGCCAGTGCGGCTATGCCACCGTGACGGGACTGATTTGAACTTGCTCAACACTTCATTTTCTAACCACATCCTCATTACAACGACCTGATACATGTCCAAGAGAAAGGTGGGAGATGCATCAACTATCGTCCTTGTCACTCTCTTATATTTCCAGCAGTGTAGCTCTCCAGCAATTTTGAACGCAGAACTTGAAGCTGTCCGCGGGAAGGTCTCCCTTGAAGAGACAGAGGAGTCATGGGACAAGATCGAGCAGGGCATTGTGCAGCTCACAAAATGCTGCAATAACGGCGGATGCGACTTCGCCACAGAAATGGTTGCTGGCATACGCTCACTCTCCAGACCCATCAACCATGCTATGAACTCGGAACGCAGTAGACTGTCAGGTTCTGCTATCGAACTTGTGAATGCTCTGTTAGCCGGTTTGGGTTCCTCGTTTGAACCCCTCGTCTCGCTATTTATGCCGACTCTTCTCGGGCTTTGTGGCCGGACCAATAAGGTGTTCACAAGTCGAGCAAAGGCGTGCATTCTCTCTGTGATTGAAAATACCCAATTGCCTTCCATTCTGCCGTACCTCGCTGACTCTTTAACTCAAAAGTCAGCTTTTCTGCGTTTAGTGGCTGCAGAAGGTGTCCTCGCTTGCTTGAACTGCTTCAATCCTCCTGATATTGAGAAGGATACGCGTGCCCGACTTATCGAAGACGTTATCAAGTTGACTGCCCGGGATGCTAGTTCAGACGTTAGGAGAGCGGGGAAAATGATTTTTGAAGCATATAAAGCCCTTTTACCCGATCGCGTGGAAAGGTTGGTCTCTAAAGCTTCCACTCGTGACATCCGTCCCTGACATACACAATTCAGTTTTATTGCACCCTTAACCCCTGTCATAAAGAAGTACTTAGATGTGCAAGGGAAAGTTACTTCGCGGTCGGCTTCACAAGCACTTTCTCGTGGTCCTGCAGCGACAGGCAGAGTGACCTCGAGGCCAATCGGGTCCCTCCAGACTCAGAAGACGAGTTCTCATTCTAGAGCTCCATCCACGCAGTGCGCTACCGTCACCCGTGTTTCCGGGAAACACGCAGAGAGACCAACACGTCCTCCTAGCTCTGAGCCGCCGCGAGAGGTGCCTGCAGCAAGGCTGCGTGCTGTTTCAAGTCAAGCAACCTCTAGTGCAATTGCGGGGCCCTCAGTGAAGGAAACATCTCGCCAAGGTGCACTCCGTCCCCCGTCGGCGGAAACAGGTCCACCCACTATGCAGAGTACAAATCTACGGAAGGATATTCCACGTCCTCCGGCTCCCACTATACAGGGCCCTCAGCGAGTAGGCACTGTGCTCATGAAGTCACACGACGAGAAGCCTCGTGTTGGAGGAGGAGCTCGAAGAGTTCTCATTCCTGCAGCTCCTTTACCAGAAACTGATGATACCACGACAACGCGCACGGTCTCAAAGACTGGTCCTCCTTCAACCAAGCCGACTTCGGTTAACTCACTCGCACATTCTCTCGTTTCAAAACGAGATTCACAGAACGACCCCGTAACCACAAAGGTTCACTCAACTACCACAGCTCGCGCTGCGTCGTCAGCGGCCACTGCTACCACCAGACCATTATCTCGAACGGGACCGCGCCCGATGACAAAATTAGAGCATCCGACAACCAAGGGTACAATTTCTCGCTTACGGTCACCGACCATGGGTGTTGAGCAACAGCAGACTTCCCGCAAGCAGGTTGCTGAACTAGGTCGTTCTAGCCAGCAAGCTATAGGTCAGAAAAAGCCAGTATGGGGAGGACGGTCTTCAGGCAAAGCGTCTAAACCCGTCGTCAAGGGACTCTCGATACGCCCTAAGTCGGACGGGTTGAAGAGTTCTGATACTAGCAAGCCTGCACCAGAACACGTGCCATTGCCTCCCAGTCCCACTGTATGTCCCGCTGCAGTGCCTCTGCCATCTTCCCCAGCCTGTAGTCCCCGTCAGTCACCCCAGCCCGAGCCACCAGCATTAGGAGGGCTATCCGCACAAGTCACTGGCGATGATGCACATGTCGCAGGAGATTTTCGTCCTCCCTCCACCTCCGTTGAAGCTACGCCTTCACGCAACGTGAACTTTCAGCAGTCCCCGTCTAAAACACCCATAACAGCTCTTCTTTCATCTATTCAACGCGGGTTCTTATTTACACCTTCATCGCCGCTCTCGCCTCCCCAAGCTTATGTAACTGAAATCATTGCTCACACATACCGCCCGAACAGCCCAACCGCTCATAAAGACATAGCCTGCGTCGGTGTCATTCAGGACAATATGGCACGACAGGCATTGGAAGTGATGGATGTCAACTAGATCATATACAGTCTTATAGTACTTGACTTTGGATTTAATGACATCCGTATACTAGAGCACGGTGTGTGACTTTGGAAGCATCGACCGTGAGACAGAAGTATAGAAGCTGGAGAACGGCGCTGTTAGAAGTGTCTACGACATGGCGGGAGACGACAAAGAGAGGATAGTCTACGACGTAGATATATATACGTAGTCGGGACTATCCGAACACCGAACGATGACGAAGGGTGGAATGCCGAACTCTAACAAGAAGGATAGGCTGTCTTCCTTGTATTGGGTCTGTCTACGAGCCCACTGTAAACCCTGGTGCGCTAACCTAAATCTATGGTCAATCAGTGTATCAGAGACCAGAAGTGAAAGACATGCCATCCATCAATGACTCAAGAACCTGCGTCCCTTGAGTAGTCGTCTGGCTAGAATCTTTCTACCAGTTGCGGTCTTTTTCCGAGTAAGAAAGCCATGCTTTCTTTTGCGCTTTCGCTGAGAAGGTTGGTACTCAGTACCACGGGAGGCAAAGCGCCTCTGACCGAGCGCGTCACATAGTGAAGGTAGCGAGAGTGTTTGTGGTACAAGTAGCGCGCGATTGATTAGAATAGAGCGCGAGGCCGGAATAATTGAATTGACCGCAGTGAAAGAGGGTATACTGAGTAACGGTCTACGAAGTGCTCCGAGAAGTTGAAGAAACATGTTGAAGACTCGAAGCGCTAAAATTTAGACTCACGGTCGATCATGCTCATCCAAGTCATGTGACCATTTAATAATTCAGGGTTGTACTCAACAAGTACTCACAAGTAACTCTGGATCCCTCAGAATGTCGACAACGCCAGGAAAACCCAGAATATCAGGTATTCCGACTCCTGGAAAGTCTAGCGGAATCCCTACTCCAGGCAGATTTCGTTCTTCATCCTCCGCCAATTCTCAACCCGCCTTTGACTCTGATGTGGAATTTATGTCCCGTGCATTCGCAAACGCGATCAAGGCCAACGATCCTGCACAACATCGCGCCAGCACTACTTCGAATACTTCCCCTTCGTCATCTTCTCCAAAGTCAAGTTTGGCGACATTGCAATCAGGCCGTCGTTCTGTAACTGGTCGTCCTCCCTCAGTCGCTTCAACCTCTGCATTTGCACAGAGCAGAACAAAGACTCCTGGACCACGCGCTGCAAGCAGACAATCAGATGTTTTTTACCCGTAGCGTAAGTCGAGCCGGGAAAACATTCGAAGTCGGAGACAATGTCAGGATAGAGTCTTTGGGGTTCGAGGGCTGCCTAAGGTATATTGGAGAGATCGACGGTAAATCCGGCCTATGGGCAGGGGTTGAACTCAGTGGAGGTTTTTCAGGCAAAGGAAAGAATGATGGATCTGTTGGGGGGTGAGTTTTCTGCTCCCTATTGACTGCTGGTGTCCGTGTAAAATAACAGCTGCAGAGTATCTTGCTGAAAGTATTTCTACAGGAAACAGTACTTTGTGTGTCCTCCAAATTGCGGTGTATTCGTTGCTACTACGAAGCTTTCTGCCCCCACAATGCCTTCTAGCTACCGGCCTCCCTCAGTCGCCTCCTCTCGCAGTGGTCGCATAACGCCATCCTTTTCTGGTAGAGTCACTCCCTCACATTCACTATCTTTTGGAAGTGGACGCATCACCCCGTCCAACCTCTTTAGCCGCTCTAACGCTGGCACAACTCCTGCAGCTCGTAAAACAAAGCCAACTCCACAGTTAGGCTTGTCACAATCGCCAAGACCTGGATTAGACACTCAAATTACCTCAGGTTCGAGGGCCTCCAAATATATCGGTCTCACAGCCAAACAATTGAAAGCCAATGGCGACTGTACCTCAGAGTATACTCTTCGTTCTCCATCTTCGCCATCACGCGGACCCCCAGCTGTTGATTTGAATATACACTCTTCGGATTTTCCATTTACCTACGCCAAAGGCTGGTGCTGCTCCTCGTGCTCCCAATGTGTACAGCGGCGCACTCACCCCCGGTCTCAAAGGCCGCACTTCCCTAAACACCCCACGCCCAAGGATACCCAGCGCAATTGCTATGCCACCTCCAGCCTCTCCTGCTCGATCAGCATCCTTTACGTCCACTTATTCCTTGAATGATGGCCCCGACCTCGCACATGAGGACCCAACATCGCGCGTTCAGCTGCGTTCTTCGATGGATCTGACTGCTTCTTCACAGGCTTTGCAGGATAAGATTAACCAACTCCTCTTAGGGCAGTCTATTTCGCCACCCAAGATCAGTGGCGCCAGTCCATCTCGGCCGTCCTCAGTTGCCTCCCTTCGATCTGCTTTCCCCGACAATGACTTGCAAAAGGACGCTCTGCATTCTCGCCTAGAATCTCTCGAGCGCGAGAATGCTTCTCTTCGTGATGCTGCTGATGCGGCCCGTGCAGACGTCGCGCTAGTCCAAGCACTCGAATCTGAGCGCGATACAGCTCTCGCCTCTGTTTCCTCCACAGAGAACCAGCTCCGCACTCTCGAGCGTAAACTCACTGAACGAGAGTCGAAAATTGAATCTCTTGAACGCGCCGCGCTGAAAACAACTTCGGAACTAGAACGCATCAAGAATGAGAACGAGGCTCGTGTCGCAGACTTACAGGCCAAATTTGGTACGAACGAGTCACTCGTCAAGAGTCTCAAAGAGGCAATTGCGGTGAAAGAGGGCGTTGAGCATGATAGGGATGCGCTACTTAAGGCTAAGAATGACGAAATCGGGCTTTTAGAAGGTCGATTGGAGAAGGTGTCGGGTGAATTAGAGGTGGACAGAAAAGAATTAAACGCACAGATTGATGAGCTGCGTCAAGCTGGCCAGGTCAGCTATGTTACGTTTGAACTGACGTGAACTTGACCATTATCTTAGGAAACAATTGCGTTGTACGAAGAACGTCTCAGTACGGCAGATTCGCGCCAATATGAGCTCGAGGACCGGGTCGTGTTTCTCGAGGACCAAGTCAAGAAAGCCTCGACTCCTCTCTCTCCAAGCGCCGCCCTCCAACGCGCCACTTCCGCTGCTGAAATCGACAACGAGAATCTTCGCGAGCAAGTGCAACACTTGCAACGCAAACTTGCCACGCTGGAGGACTCTCTTGAAGATGCTCATGCGGTATCTGAACGGGAGGAAGCTGCCGTGCGTGAGCGAATCAAACGATTCAAGGACAAGGAGGATGTAATGCGAAACGAACTCAGCGAGGGGCGCAAGACTGTTGAACAGGTTCTCAAAGCTGAGGCTCTCGCTAAAAGTCGCGTCGAAGAGGTCGAGGAGGCCTTGCGAGAAAGTACTCTTGCCCTCGAAAATGCCCAGGCCGAAATCGAAAATCTGAGATCCGATGTTGCTGCGAGTGGCTTGCTTCGAGCCACTTCACATCTTAACTTGGTCCATCAGGTAGCTGAGCTGGAAACAGACGGTGTTCCCGACTCGCAGAAACTCAAAGCTGATGAGCGCACGCGCCTCACGGAGGAGATTCAGGAGCTGCGTGACGAACTCAATCAATTGCGCTCATCTGCAGCAGAATTTGCATCGGCCTCTTCAGCAGCTGATGTAAGAAGCTACCCTGGTTTCGCACATGGTCATTGACAATTGTGAGTGTAGGACGACACCAATTGGCAAGCGAAGTACGAGCAAGTACAGAAGGAGGTGCTTGTTTTGCGCAAGGGTCTCGAGGAGCGTGCTACGGAGCTCGACACTATGAAGAAGAGACTTAACCGCGACATTCCTGTCAATGGCATCCAAGAGCCACCAAGGACACCAACATCGTCTAAGCAGGAATCTGCTGAAGTAATGGGTCTCAAGTCGGTTCTGTTCTTAAATTCTTCTTCTGGCGCTCATATTTCACTACAGGCACATTGTTCAAGACTTGCAACAAGAGACTTCAGCAGTAACTCAGCGAAATAAGCTATTAGAGTCTGAGAACAGACTCTTGATGTCAGAGACAGATCAACTTCGCCAGGTGCGACTCACGTGAGGCAGCCGACGAACTATCCTTTACCTTTTATTACAGGAACTGAAATTACTGGAGGAGAACATCGAGCAGAGTTTGTTGCGTGAAGAGGCTGCTCTTGGAACGCACAACACACCGGCATCTGGTGACGAGCAGACAGCTAGGCTGGAAGTATGTCAATGCGTAGGGTATCCAGCTTGTCGAACTGACTTGTGTCGCAGAACGAACTGGAACAGTTGCGCAAGCGCTTAGCTGAAGCTGAGATGAAGACCGCCCGTGTCTCACACGACGTATGTGCCAGTCTCTCTTGTTATGCCTTCCTAATCAGTGTACAGCTGAATAAAGAGATCGGTGAGCTAGAGGCGCTTGTGGAGTCAAAGGTACGTGTTGTCAATGCATGTGGAGCAGAGTCTGATTCAATTTATAGATCTATCGCGAAGTAAGTTTCCGCAACATATAAGTACGCTGTCATACTTATCTAACTTCTTACAGGATGAACTCGAGCAAGAACTCGAGCGCCTCAAAGAGAAGTTGTCACGGAACAACAAGAAGTTGTCAAAGAATAGCCTCGAACCAATAGATTTGCCTCCTCGCAGGCGTTCATCCACGCCAAACAGCTTTAATCGAAGTTCTAGCGAAGACGTCTGTGAGATCTGTGAGAGACCGGGGCACGACATCTTCACTTGCGACCTTTTACGGGACGACACGACCCCTTCTCGTGACCAAAACGCTGTCAAGAAGACGAATGGAGATCCGTCAGACTTATTTTGCGTTGACTGTGAGGGGCACGGGCATGTAGCTGCTGATTGTCCACACTCATTGGATGTCTTCTAATTTTCGTCGAACCTTTTTATGCACCACTGTCGCTTTCTGTACCCCCTACCTACATAACATATTTTCTGTTACAAAGCCACAGCACATAGCACATAATCATATACCCTTCCCAAAATGACGAGAAAGGCAAGTGTCTCCTATGACGCAGTGAAGTGACGTCATGTTGCCTCCTTCGTTCCAAAAACATGAGACCTTTCACGTTGAACATTCTAGTTTCTAAACTAACCTTCGAGCGACTCCTATAATATGTCCTACGCATCCGTTGTTGCTCACGATGCTCCTCCCTCGTCTGAGCAGGTATGTACTTGCGAAATTTAGAATACTATTGAGTCGTGCTCATTATGCCCCTCAGCCTCGTCCTGATCCTGCGCTCCTCACGACCGAGCGCTCCGCTGCAAGTAATGTTGTTGATGACACTTCTAAAGTGAACGTCGTTTCCAGCGATTTTAAAGAGAACCTTGCGACATACACATCCGAAACATATGTTCCAGAAGACGTCGATGATGATCTCGTCGACCCAGGCAGGAAACCGGTGAAAGGTAAAAAGAATAGGCGCTTTCAGGAGGCTCAGGCGGAAGGCATTTATCTGTGGGAGGTCACAAAACACTATTGTTTCGTCCAGGTGTTGCTGGTGGTCTAATCGGCCTGGGTATGGTCATTTTTTCCGAATCTTTGGGTTGGTTGACGATGTTATCCTAAAGTGAATATCGGCCTTCTGTCTAGCGTGGGCTACGGATTCTACACAAAACCCAGTCTTCGTCGGAATCTCACTGCCATCAGCTCGGCAGCGGCAGGAGCACTGCTATTGATCGGGACTGAAGGCTACGCAGCAGAGAAGTATCGACAGACCCCTATCGGCCGCCAGGAAGAACGACGCGCGCGTGAGGAGGGTACTCTCATCTACATGCAGCTTCGAGAACATGTCTTCCGTCCAGGTGTCTTGGGCGGTTTGGTCGGACTAGGTCAGCGAAAATTCATCTGCCGATTTCTTGAGATGTTCATCCCCTCCTTTTTCTTTAGTAAACACGGCGATCCTTGGAGCAGTGGGATACTATAGCTATTCCAACTGGCACAAACCTAAGTGGAACCGGGATGTCGTCACCGCTGTTGCATTCGGCCTGCTCACGCTTTGGGGTGGCGAAGGGTGAGCAGGATAGTGCTGCCTTGCATCTACTGATGCTAAGATTTACTTGCAGATATCTTGCAGAGCGCTATCGTGCAGAACGGCGGAGACAGTGATGTCAATAGGCTTTATTTGCAGTTTGGAAGAACACTTGTACACTATGTCAGCTTACTTTGATGATGAATTCTTGCTGAGCGCCAAGTGCGTTCACTGGCAGAATAGACGAGTCACTTAGATCTTTTCTACACATAGCTCTTGCAAGTCACCACTGAGTGCAGATATGTTAAAGAGCAAGGAACGGCGCACGTGTCATTTCATATCGTACAAAAAACAGAATTGAAAATCAAGCTTGACGGTGGGGCTGGGGTAACGGTTGGTGAGCCAGCAAAGAACGTTGACAAAGGGGAGACAGGACATGAGGAAGCCTGCGCGAGGATCACAATCTGCATAGGTCTTGGAAATCAGACGACAACATAATGTTCACATTGTCTATGCACTGTATACAGGCCTTCCACCGAAAGTACGTGGTTCTGGCTGGTTAGTCTTCGTCTTCATCACTTTCTTCCTCTCCTGTACTGCCTTCAACATCGCCTTCGCTGTCTTCTGGCTGTGCGGCCCAGTCTGAAATGTCAAGCTTCTCGTGTCGCACTGATTCTGTCAAGAATGTTTACTTGTGCTGCTGAAGTAGGCAAGTGGAGTGCTCGGCTCACCATTATCTTTTACTTCGTATCCAGCCTGGGTAACGCATCGTACCAACTCTGCTTTCGATCCTACAATAGTACTATTACCCAAAATGCATCCATCCAGCTTCGCCCTGGAGTAAGGTATGTCATTGTCAGATAATAATTTGAAAATTACACACCCATCAGAAATCACACAATGATCCAGGAGAACGCATCCCACAATCTTCACCATCTTTCCTATGACACAATGTTTTCCTATGGTAGATTTTTTAATGGTTGACTTCTCTTCGACACGTGTGAAGTCTCCAATGGAGGTGTCAGCCACGAACTGGTGTATCTCGTTTTCAGTGATGATCTGATCAAGACAGGAAAAGGACAAACGTGACGATTTGCTTCGAGGTACGCTGGTAGATTGTTGACGCGAATAGCGAACCCGTCATCCGCTCGGTGAATTATAATTCCTATTCGAATGCTCGTAGCATATTTTTCCCGCTTAGTTGATTGGTACTGCAATTTGCATAACCAAGGAAAGAAGTCTTCTCTGAGAGAGTCAAACCGAGTTTTTTGGGCCAACAAGTCGAGCACAGCGCGTTTACAGACGTAAACATGGGAGTCTAGCAGCCTCGAAGACAACTTTGCCTGTGGATATCTAAGCAATTGAGTCATCACACATGATTGCGGAGCGATATAAATTACCTTGAGAGTAAGGTCATCCGCAACTCCAGCTCATCGCCGTTTTTATCAGTTTCGTACGGACTATCTACATATAACAGGGTCCCAGTGAGTTGATCCCATACAATCGGAGTTGGTTGTGCTGGAGAACCCCACTCATCTGGAGTGGATTGCTTGTCTGGTTTGTGTTCATACCAACACGAAGTCACAATGGAACCATCCGACATCGTGTCCGTGCGGAACTTGTTGAGAAGTTTTGATAAGGGTAGGGAAGGTGGCGTTATGAAGTCGCAAGGGATGAGAATGAAGTCCTCCTTGATGCGGTTGGCGAAATGGCGAAGTACGGAGCATGTCCCTGCACTTAGTTCCTGCGATTCATCGAAAGTCTGGAGGTCAATATGAACGGAAAAGAAGGATGCAGATGAAGACTGTGAATGGATATAATGTGATATTGCAGGGCGGTGGGATGAAGGACAGATCAAAAGGACATCTGTGACTCGATAAGCCATCGTTGATCCGAACAATTTGTATGAAGTTATTAGGTCCACCTTTGATGCCAGATTGCTCGACCCATGACAGGGGATAGTCGAGCATAGGCTTATTTGAAATCGGAAGCAACGCCTTTGGACAGGGCTCATCACCATGTTCGCCGGTCAAAGGGAGTAATCTACAAATTAATGATGTAGTCAATCCATCATTCATGAGTGTCAGGACTTACTCGTTCCCAAATCCCGCGAGGATGACTACCACGAATTCACGAGTGACTACTTCAACTGGAGTAACGTCAAAGTTCATCATCGCGCGCAGGGGTACGAAACGAAAGTTTCTGACTTGGACTTTATAGATTCATTATGATCAGAGTCATACCTTCCTCCTACTGTGACATTGTGACAGTCACATACAATTGAATCAATAGCTCACTGTGACACCCTTCAACCCAGCCAGCCTCATCGATCTCGGATCATCTCCAGGACGCCTCTGTCAGCGTTGTGGTTGTGGTTGCCGCAATGGCTGCTCAGCCAACCGTGCATCAGCTATTCAGACGCCTGGAAACTGTAGGCAAGGGTGCCTATGGTTCCGTCCATAAAGGCGTCCATATACCCACAGGAAATATCGTGGCCCTAAAAATCATTAACCTAGACACTGCTGACGACGACGTGGAAGCCATTCAACGCGAAGTGGCTCTATTAACCCAGCTTCGCGATGCCCCCAACGTCACCAAATATTACGGTTGTTACCTTGACGGTCCGCGCGTTTGGATCGCTATGGAATTCGCCCAGGGCGGGAGTGTCCGCACTCTTATGCAGACTTCTAAAGACCGTATTCTTGAGGAGCGGTTCATTGTGCTCATCACCCGTGAGGTTGTCATTGGGCTCAACTACCTACATAAATCCGCCATTATCCATAGAGACATCAAAGCCGCTAACATCCTCATCACTGCCACCGGTAAAGTTATGATTTGCGACTTCGGTGTCTCCGCACTCTCTGCCACAACTACGAGCAAACGAAACACTCTGATGGGCACCCCGAATTGGATGGCTCCAGAAGTAGCACAGCCAGTTCCAGCGTACGATAGCAAGGCCGATATTTGGAGTCTGGGCATCATGATTTATGAGATGGTGAAGGGCGCACCTCCTCACTCAGATTTGAGGGATGCATTCAAGGTCATGCAATTGATTACCAAAGTACAACCTCCTCAATTGGCCGAAGCGGATGGTAGCAAAGAAATGCGAGAGTTCGTGTCGCACTGTCTCAAAGTCTCTCCGAACGAGGTGAGTTTTTCGCTTTTGATGTCGCCCTGATTGATGGCATAATTAATTCGAGGAACAAGCGATTTTCCGCTGATGAATTAATTAGAACGAAGTGGATGAAATCGGTGTCAAAGGCAAACGTGTCTACTCTACGGGAGCTGATACTCCGGTACGATGCTTGGATGCAGAATGGGGGTACTCGCAATAGCTTAGTGGAACCACTCGACTGGGAGAATGAGGAGAAAAGAGAGTGAGTGCCATTTGTGCAGCGCTCCTTGCTGGCTAAAGTTATTCCTTAGCTTGCAAGGCGTGGTAGATGAAGAGACAGACCTCTGGGAATTCGACACGATAAGACGTCGAACGTTTCAAGCTGCATTAAAGGAAGATCTATTGCCGGATACCTTTCCAGTTGACTCGTCACTATCAGTTCCTACTATCAAACCTTCAGCACGGTTACCTACATCATTGCGTGGCCTTTTTGATGATGACTCTGTGAATCCTGGATTTGAAACCTTGCGGACTCCAATGCCACCTCCACCACTACGTGATACTCCAAGCCCAACACCTTTAGCACCTTCCTCTTCATCACCATCACGTGATCGTACGCCATTCAAACGTCCATTAGCCATTGCAGACAGCACAGATGATGTTCAGATGGTCAAATACAACGATTTCGCGTTTCCTCCCAGGACAGCTTCTCGAGCGAAATCGAAACTTTCCACCAATGTCCCAACTTCTGTGGATGTTGAAATGAAAGAGGAAAACACGCCTCCAGAGGAGAGGGCTGAAGGTATATACGTTGTAGTTGACATCAGCTATTGTCAGCTTATTCTTTTCACAAGCTTCTGCTACTGTCATGGATACTACTCCGACCTCTCCTCTTTTGCCACCTGTTAGGCCTTTTGTGGTCCGAGAGAGGAGTGGTAGCGCATCAAGCAAAGGCAGTGACGGCAGCAGCTCTGCAGCAAGTTTAATTCTGCCAGGACTTAAGGACGCAGTGAAGGTAGCAACGACGGTATATCACTGAATTATTTGCTCATGTCATTCTAGGTGCCTACCATTACGTCGGAGCACCAGTTGGGTCTAACAGATTTGCTCCCGCCGTCACCTATGGCCCTTGTCCACAATAAAAGCTCTTATGTCCATGCTCCTAGTGGATTTGGATCACCCGCGACGACGAGCGAAAAGAGCTCCGTCGGTCTTGGTTCCCTTCCTGCAGCGAACGCTTCCAGCGCTTCCCTTACACTTGCACGGAGCCATTCTCCCTCCGGGCCTTCTAACTTATCTCATTCCGCTTCATTATCTCACTCTGGTCCATCAGCGCAATTGTCGACTGTCGGGCCTCAAGTATTGCCGCTGGATCTCTGTAATATCATGAGCCATGACGCCACGAATGTGCAGCTGGTGCGGTCCGTCAATGATTTAACAAAATGGCTGTCTGTAATCGAAGTTGGTTTTACAATGATGCTCGAACAAGCCGCAGGGGACTCTATAGCGGAAGAGCAGGAAGAGGGTGCTATTGAGAGGGATACTTTTACGGAAGACACGGACGCATGGAAATGGGATTCTGTAACTGATATCGTCCTGGAGTCCAGCTAGTTGTCAAACTTTGATCATCTTGATATTCTAATGACATTCTACTTTTCTAAAATTCTAGCCGGTATATGGACTGTATAGATTCCTTTTTGCTGTCCTTGGTAACTACGAAATATAATTATGCTCGGTGAGGTATTCAATGATGACCTCGACTGCTCTAGTTACATCGCATTCGTCTGTTCTGATGTGTATATCAGGTTTCTCGGGAGCTTCGTACGGCGCAGATATGCCAGTGAAATCTACATATAAATTTTAAGTACCTTCATCTTAGAGTGAGGATATCGTAGGGTGACTTACCCTTGATTGTTCCTGCACGAGCTGCTTTATAGAGCCCTTTCGGATCGCGCTGTTCAACCACACTGAGAGGGGCATCAACAAACACTTCGATGAACCCGAGGCCTCCTTTCTCATGAAGTTCGCGGGCTACTTGTCGATCTGCTTTGTAGGGCGATATAAAAGCTGTGATCGCGATGCAAGCAGAGTCCGCGAATAATTTGGAGACCTTCAAAGAAAGATAAGGACGTAGCTGCTCCATAATCCTAGACTCCTATGCAGTACCTCGCCTATGCGCCTGATATTTTCCACCCGGGACTTCTCGTCGAAACCAAGGTCCTTATTGAGCCCTAAGCGAACGTTGTCTCCATCGAGCCGGTAGGTGAATTTGTGTAAGTGAAGTAGATGTTGCTCTAGAGCACATGCTATCGTTGACTGCGAGGGAATCAGCGCACCAGTGGTAAGATGGAGAGAGTAACAGACCTTTCCACTAGCACTGAGTCCAGTCAGCCAGATAGTAACACCCGTTTGTTTGAGCAAGCCAACACGTTCTTGGGTGTCAACAGATCCTATAAACCTTGGTATTTTATTTCTAGATAAAAGCCGTTCCAGGAACACACCTGGATGGAAAGTAATGTTCGTTGACATCTCGGTAATAGTGGAGGATAGCTTCAGTCAAGCTTCAGTGACTCACTGTGTTATATCCAGCTCTCGGTGACCCGACTTCCCCGTGTAAGGTTTTGCGACCTGCCACATGTCGCAATCTAGGCGTCAGTATGACGGTATCACTTCATACATATACATAGTACTGGGGCTAAATATAGCCGCTGACTGTTCAGTGTTGTCAGTTCGTTTCGGAAGATTTTTTCTACAGGTATAGCTGTATCATATTCACACCTAAAAGTGTCTTTACATACCACTTGTGGAGTATACTAGGTATGGCTGCTGGAGTTATCAAACGCGACACCAATAATATTACTCTACTCATACTGCTTCGCGCCTCCGAGGCGATGCACGCAGAATATCATCCACCCTGTTCACATCCAAGGTTAAATGACAGATCATGGTCCGGAGGGCACACCGCATACCTTATTATCATCTCTGCTGCCTCGCTTGCACTGAGCACAACCTGCCGCTTCAGTTTGTAGCTCTCCGTAACACCTAATTGTTTCATCGAGCCGATGGTGCCCTGGTTCATATCTGAAAATCCTATAAGTTCAGCCCGCGCTTAAAAAGTACACAGTCATACCCAGTCCAGCATCTGACTGTCCCTCGTAATGTGCGGCTCTCAGCTTGGCGACAAGGTCGCTCGAGTCATAGCCAGCATTATCCGCGAGGATAGTCGGAATTTGTCTCAGAGCACGGCTGAATGCCTCGGCAGCTATCGCCTTCTTGCCCTTGACCTTCCGCGCGGCCTCCTCTACAGCACAGCTCATTAACATCTCGGAACATCCACCGCCCAAGACAATGCGTGTCTCTTTGACTGTTTGCGATAGGACAGAAAGCGCATCATGCAACGAGCGCTCGGCCTCGTCAACCATCTGATTGGTTGAACCACGAAGCACAACAGTGCAGGCTTCGCCCGCGGCAACACCAGAGAATTTTATAAGCTGTAATTCTTGGTCAACTCAAATCAGGGAGCAGATAATGACGCCAACCTTATCCTCGCCAATGATGATTTCCTCGATTAAGTCGCACTTTCCAAGCTTCACCAATTCTGGGCTGTCGAACGTGCTTGCAATCTCACCACTAGTCACGAGTGATAGCCGCTCAACGCCCTCAAAATCGGCGTGCTCAATCACCATGATACCTTTCTCTGCCAAGAGAGATTCGGGGTAATTGTAGATGAGTTGTCGGTTGACAAAGCAATTAATACCATGTGCGGCGATCGCGTCGACTTTGGCTTTCATTTTTTCCTATAATGCGTCGTTAGACAATTAAGAAGGTCATAAAAGCGTGCGAGTACCCGTTCAGCCCGCTCAAGCTCAGCAAGTTTTCCAGTCGAGTCCACTTTTACTCTGGCTCCAAAGATCTTGATCTTATCAGTGTCCATCGCTTTTGAGCAATTCTTTAGTCCTAGATCAATGCGAGATGGACCCACACGTACAGGTGTTGGCAATCAGAATTTTTGCGTTCTCCATCCGTTTGGGCGAGTTCACGGCAATAGTTTTGTCGAGAATGAAACCTGTATGAGGTACATTGGTGAGATGAGTAGGATTCATTGTGTGTCTCAGCCAACCTTCGTCAAGGTATGAGTCTGTGAGTTTGCCTCCGACCTTTTTGATTACCTGGATATGCTCCAGATCTGTGGACCCCTAGAAGACAGTCAACACTAGTGTCATATACAGCGATTCCAATATACCTTTAATCGAAGCACGGCATCTACAGCTAGGTTGGCAAAGTAATCTTTTTCTTGTGATAAGACTTTTGATGATAGGGTCGTACGCGCAATGTTGAAAAGATCCTGGCGGAACTGGACAGCATCGGAGCTATTTGAGAGTACAAACCAAGTCGTTCCCGTAAGAAATCGGAGAGCGACGCCAAAAAACACGAATACATACGCGTGATCGACCGCTGCATTCTCCAGTGCCGCAAGCGCAGCGATGCTTGCGATCCGGTATCCTTCCACAATCGTCTGAGGATGTATTTTCATTGCAACCAACTTCTCTGCTTCCCTCAGCAGCTCTGCTGCTAGCACACACACGCTCGTTGTTCCATCTCCGACTTCGTCGTCTTGGACTTTTGAGATGTTGACGAGGATCTTGGCTGCTGCATTGTCGAGCTGGATGGACTTCAAGATCGTTGCACCATCATTAGTCACCTGGATATCTCCTGAAGACGCCGATTGAAGAATCTTGTTCATGCCTTTTGGCCCAAGCGTTGATTTCACGAGGTCGCCGAGAGCGAGGGCACCGACGAAAGAGGACAGACGGGCATTTTCAGCTTTCTCCTCCGTTGCCTATAGAACATTAGACGTCACGCGAAGTGCGAAAACATCAAGCTACCAGAGCCTACCTGTTGACCGAAAATATGCATGGACATGGCTGCAGTTTTAGAGATTGCGTGACAAGATCACAGTCAATCGTGCCACAAAGAATTGCAGATTGCAATCAATAAACTAAGATTTCTAATACACTTATCCCCAATGTGAACAACACACCCCTGTCCAGTATTTATTTTCTATATTCTACATGTACTTACTGTCAGTGGTGCAGAGATCGTGCATATCCCCGGTATTTACATAGTACTCCAAAGTCCCATGTCAGCTATGTAACTTTGCCGAGCTCCCCGCTTCTCCCGTCACGGTATGTTAATTAAGTAGATGAAATTGCGGACTTTGCTGCAGCCCCACACAACCAGATGACAGACTGCTTAATGGCTTCCGTTACCTCTCCTGTGCTCAGAGGCTGATCAACAGGTGGACAATGCAGAAAAATGACTTTAGTGGCCGACTTATCAGCCTTCCCGCTTGCCCGTTTACTCTCGGCTAGTGAGCAGTAATAGATGAAGTCGCAAAGGTAGTGTCCTGCGTCCAGAGACGAATAGATTTGCTTCCCAAACTATGTCAATATTCCTGACAAGATACACGCAGATCACTCTCACCTCGATGCCCAACTTTTTGAGGTGATGCACGAGCTTCTCGACATCAATTTCTGTGAAAATCTCCTCGGGGAATGACTCGTATCCCTTTCCAAATCCACGCTTGGGTGGTTCTGTACCATCAACAGGTGGTTCAATGAGGTATTCGCTTAAACGTGCTCTTTCCATCCTCTCCATCTCCGAAGGTTCAGATGGTCCGCGATTGGAATTAGAGTTTTCCTCGCGCGATACGCGTACGACCGGCGCATGACTACCAGTGGCATCCTTCATATTATAACCAAACTTATGCCCAACCCTCTCCATTCGCAATGGTCCTCTCCCAGCGACGCCTACGTGAAAGATGAGATCGAATCCATCTACTGGCAGTATGGTATCTGGTATGTCAGGATCTGCAGAAGGAGGAAGGACAGGTGGCCGTGCGTGTAGCCCGGGTACAATGGCAAGAACGTCTTCGTATGTTACGGGGACTTGAAGGGTCGATAGATAAATGTCGCGTGTATCCTGGGTAAAGCTGTTTTCTTCGGCCGTGGGGTTTTGATCATCAATTATAACGGGTTCATCAGGCAAATCGATGGTCAAAACGGTGTTGTGAAGTGGCTTGACAGCCAGCCATGATGGGTTGACCGCATAGCGAGAGAACGGCTAGGCTCACTGACAGTTAGGCGCGCGTTTGAAAGGGTGAGAGCGAGTAAGGCCAAGACAACTCACACCAAAGCCAGTTACAAGAACATGATAAGGTCGCACTTCTGATGCAGGGATACCGTTTACATCTATGGCTGGCATCGTTAGCTCGAGATATGCGAATCAACAAGGATGAGTTAGCATAACCCGTGATCGAGAGCAGTGCTTCAGCCAAGAGCCGGGACCCGGGACACTGTCAAGTGGTCTAGTGGATGTCCTAGTTAAGTACTAAACGGAACCTTTTTGCTACTAACATACTTGACGGAATCTTGTACTATTGAGTTTGAATTCAAGTTTGAAACCAACATTTCCGTAGAACTCTAACGCCGTCTTTTGATTAGCGTGTCGAAGCTTTGGCAGATTTAGCTTACTATCTCCACTCTGACGTCCACATGCCTTCAGGTGGGTTACTGTATATTCGCCATCTCACTCATTCGACGACTAACGTTCCCGACAGTATCTTGGTCAGTCATTTGATTTACCCTAGGCATCACACTACCAACACTTTATTGCAAGTCCAATATGTCTGCAGCTTGTTTTGGAGGAGAACATCAATAAACATTTGGACAGCGGCTGCAGTATTCATGTGGCACCTCAAGGAGAACCTTCCTCTCAACCCAAAAACACGGCATCCAAGAAGTTGGCGCCGATATTCAGCAAGATCCGTGACAAGCACACCAGCGCTCTGGCTGACGGACCTTTAGTACCTCCATCGATAACCCAAGGCACGCCCACTACCTCCAAGAAACGAAAGTTTGAGGTGCCATCACTATCGAGCAAACGCTTCAAGGGCACGCCTTCTAACTTCAAGTCCGCCATGCCTCTTGCGGAAAGGCTTCGCCCACAATGCCTGGACCAATTTTTCGGGCAGAAGCATTTAATTGGGCCCGACTCTATTCTGACGAGTATGCTGGACAGTGGTATTATTGGCAGTCTCATATTATGGGGGCCACCTGGGTGAAGGAATTTGACCATGTTATCATTAAATTCGGTATTGACGCACCTCGAGCTGCGGAAAGACCACTTTGGCAAGATTATTGGCACAGCACATGGACTGCAACTTCAGGGAGCTAAGCGCGACTTCTTCTGGTACGAACGATGTCCGCGCGGTGCTTGAAGAGGCTAAAGCAACTCTTTCATTGACTAGAAGGTAAGGCAGAACTTTTCTCGCATTTTACTTCGTTGACTTCACTTACGCCAGAAAAACAATATTGTTCTTGGATGAGGTACATCGTTTCAGCAAGGCGCAACAGGTGCTATTCTCCTGAACACATTCGCAGCTATTTCTGAAGCGAATGAATAGGACGTTTTCCTTCCATGTGTTGAACAAGGCCAAATACAGGTGTGTAATATAATGAAGACTCCTTGACTATTAACAAAATATAAGATGATTGGAGCGACAACTGAGAATCCGTCATTCAGGTTGACGGGCGCATTGCTGAGTCGTTGCAGGTGAGTAAAAATGTGATATTTTATTTCAAGCACCGACTTTTGCAGAGTGTTAGTACTTGAGCGCTTGACAAACGATGATATCCGAGGTATTATCACTAGTGCTGTAGAGCGAGTCTTGGCATCCGTCCCCCGTGAACAACCAGAATCTGAAAGAGCAGCCAGTCCACTGGTGGGTACAGAACCCATGGCATCACAAAATATGCTGTCTCGGTCTCAGCCTCAGTCTGAGTCCTCCCAGGCGCCTATCAGTTGCGATGGTCCATTTCTGCCGTACGTCCAACTCACAGACCGCGTCATCTCTTCCATTGTATCTCTTTCTACGGGAGATGCAAGGACTGCGTTGTCTTTACTAGAACTTGTTCTGGCTTCTAAACCTGATAGAGATGAAGATACCCTTCTCGCATCATTACGCCAAAGTGTCTCTGCTTCTTACGACCGTGTAGGGGATAGCCACTACGACATGATTTCAGCGCTTCACAAGAGCATCCGCGGTAGTCACGGTAGTGCTGCGATGTACTGGCTAGCACGGATGCTGACAGTAGGAGAGGACCCGTTGTATATCGCGAGGAGATTGGTAGTTTGTGCAAGTGAAGATATTGGGTTGGCTGATGCGCACGCCCTTCCTTTGGTATGTCAACCAATAACTGAAGGCAAATTTCAATCGAGCGTTTCCAGGCAATGGCAGCTCTTCAAGCTTGCCAGGTTATTGGCATGCCCGAGTGCCGAATCAATCTAGCACACTGTGTAGGTTATCTATCAGAGGCGCCAAAATGTACCCGTGCGTACGAGGCATACAACCGGGCGGAGGTAGCGGCAAAGTCAGACCTGACAATGCCTGTGCCTATGGCGGTCCGTAATGCCCCGACAGCCCTCATGAAGGAGCTTGGCTATGCAGAAGGCTATAATTATAACCCAAGTTTTCAGTGCGTCAACACTTTCGAAATGCTCACTGACTCACTGAAGTGTCGCTTAATTCACCTGTACCCATAGGCATCCCGTGCACAATGACTACCTCCCGATTGCGTTTCGCGGTGATAAATTTTTAAAGGAAGTTGGAGACCTGTCGAACAAGGATTGGAATGAACGGGAGTTATTGCGTTGGGAGCAAGAAGAAAATGGCGGACAGTTATGGGAAGGTCGCTCGTCTGCTCAACACTGTCGTTGAACTGTGTATCGTTTGGCTGTTGCCGATCCTTCCCTTGATGCTATGCCACTGTATTGTAGGTAATATTGCAATTGAACAACGAGTCTCGGATGAACCGTTCAAAAGAATAACCAACTCGTTCACACGTGTCATGAAATTCCTTAGCACAATTGTGGCATATTTCCATGCGCTAGGTGGCGTATGTGAGCGCGGATCATCTTTTTGGTCATACATGTACAATTCAGACGGTTGAATCGCTAGAGATGGCAAGAGAAAATGCAGTACTGGAGTTGCGCCGTTATTGGAGCACATGGTTTGAATGACAAATGCAACGTGATACGACCCGCTATGCACATGCGCCGGCCTCGGAAGTGAGAACAGTCCCATCAGTTCCATACGAGTCTTGCATAGATAACATTGTCCGGCCACCGGTATTGCCGCATTATGGACTTGCCGATGAACTGGCGAAATCCTGCCGGAAGGTTGCGAAGACGATGTGACAACGACAGCGCGATACTCTGCCATCCATGGCAGCAGAACTAACATCATGAAGCCGACTTAGGTGCGCAATATTAAATGCATTGGCCCATGTGATTTCCCCCAGGCATGCATATGTGCTGTTGGGCCAGCGTTAAATGCCGAAACAGCGCTATTTTTGCTAGATCAAGGTACCTTCAAGTTCTTATCTTACTGGACACGAGACACATACTCACGATACCACGCGTAGTGACAGGTCCGTACACACTGATGCCACAAACATGGCCGTAGTACCCGAACAACTGGATCTCCAATTACGAGAATAGTCGCTTGAGGTAAATACTTATAGTCAGCTGAGCGCTGAAACTTCTTGCTTCTCTTGTAGTACTGTCTTATCAGTTACGATGAGTCTGACCGCTGCAGGGGCGATCAGCGAGCACACTGTGCCCAGCGAGAAAGCCTTTAGCACTGATGACAAATCCTTCGATGGGAAAGGTGACGTCGAAACTGCAACAGTTGATGCTGACTCGGACAGCGAGGAAGGTGTGCTCTCCAATGAACGTGATATTGCTACGCACGTCATCTCGGTGGACGACGACCCTTCTCTGAACCCGTGGACATTCCGTGCATTCTTTATCGGTCTTGGCCTCTCAACCTTTGGCGGAGTACTCGGTGAGTTCCTTGGGTTCGTTTTTAGCCAGTATGATACTCATTAATGTCAACTTGTAGCGGAAATCTATTATTTCAAGCCTGTACGTGGTAGAGCAAGCATGACGACTTTATGTGTTCATATCATTGCCGCAGCAAACAGTTTTAGTGTCATTGATGTTCATCGCGGTTGTTTCTTATATCCTGGGCGTCTTCATGGAGACCTTTATTCCTCGTCGCGGACTCCTGCGCTATCTGAACCCCGTAAACCAATTTACCCACCTCCGTTGCTTTATTCTAAGTATCTTCCGCAGGGGCCATTCAACAAGAAAGAAAATGCTTTCATTGTGATCATGGCAAGCGCCTCTGCCAACTCCGCCTTAGGTACCGAAGTTCTTGCTGTCCAGCGGTCAGTGGGCATTATTCATATTAATGGAATTTACTGATTTTTGTCTTTGTTGAAGATTGTATTACAATATCACGCCCAATGCCGGTGCCTCAGTGTTCCTACTCTTCTCTTCTCAACTTCTTGGGTACGAGAATTTTTGTTCAAGTTCCAGCGGACGCTGACAAAGTTCTCAGTTATGGAATTGGTGGCATGATGAGAAGTATGTCCACAACTAAGTCTGTTGTTGAACCCAGTGTTCACATACTTCTTCCAGGCATCCTGTTATATCCATCAAAGATGTTATACCCCGGTGTGCTACCATTGTTATCCATGTTCGATGCTCTCTTCGAGGGCGGGATGGCAGCACGAAGGAAGCTCAGGGTCTTTTACATTGTGTTTACTGCGTAAGCCCCTCGATTAAGACCGGCAATGATCAAACATGCTGATCGACCCAGTATCTTTTTTGGGAGCTTTTCCCAGAATGGATCTTTCCGCTTCTGACCGGGTTGTCAATTATGTGTCTTGCAGTTCCCAACAATGCCGCTGTCTCGCGAGTGTTTGGTGGTACAAACGGTAACGAGGGTCTAGGGCTCTTGTCTTTCTGCTTTGACTGGCAAGTAAGTGTGAACACGAACTTCGAAGTGTATCGCGTTACTGACTGGATCTGCGACAGTATATTTCTAGCGGGGTGAACCCTATGACTATTCCGCTGAAAGCACAGGTTTGACCTCTTCTCAATTCCGCGGGCCAGGAGCCTTACATATTTTTGAACAGTTCTCGAATTTTCTGGGCTACCTCCTTTGCATGTGCGATCACTTCGCCCTGATCCGAGACCTTACATTGACTTATGTCTAGGGTTGTGTTTGTGGCTGTATATTACAACAACATCTGGAAGGCCCAGAACTTCCCATTCGTTAGTCTACATTCATGTGCAACGGCAGAACATTGACCCCAACTCCCCACAGCTCTCTCAACTCTTGTTCTATGAAAACGGAACACAGTACGATCAAACACTCATTCTCAATGCCAACTATGAAGTCGATCCCACACTGCTTGCTGAACAAGGCGTACCTTACTATTCCAGCACTTGGATAGTCTACTTGCTTTCCTCAAATTTGGCAAGTTCACCAAACGTTAGTGAGACTCTGCGGACTGACAGTCCGAAACCCTAGGGTTTGGCGGCCACGTTTACTCATCTTCTCCTCTGGAACTGGGACGATATGCGCTCTGCATGGAGTTGGATGACTCTGTCAAGCATCAAAAAAACGTGGGCGAATTTTGATTGGAAGTTCTGGCAAGCCGACGGAATGCGGACGCAAGACGTCGATGATGAGGATATCGATCCCCACTACAAGCAGATGCTGAAGGTGAGTTTTGCATTTCTCTGTATTCAGCTTACCAACATGAATATTTCTGTAATAGTATCCTGATGCTCCCAATAGCTGGTACTTCGTCGTTTTCCTCGTGGCCTTCGTTATTTCCCTGGTCGTTTTATACAAGACCAATTCGACTTTGCCATGGTGAGTAGCTTTTGATTGGAAATATGGTCCAGGCTGATGAGCGTTGAAGGTGGGGCTTCCTTATCTCGCTCTTGCTGGCGACGGTTTCTATCCTATTCTTCTGTGCACTCGCTGCGATTACAGGATTGATGTTTATCATCCAGCCGTAGGTGCTTGAATTCAATCTCGATCTTCGATATTTCAATTTGGATTCAGGTTTGTCCAGATGATTGGTGGTTACCTTCACAAGGGGTTGCCAGGTGATTACCTTACTCGTCGTTGATTTCTAATATGCTTTGATTAACGAATGCGACAGTGGCAAATATGTACTTCGTTCTATACGGATACAGTATGTGTCAACATTGCGTCCAAAGAACAGGTCGGCTAACCCAATGTTACAGACTCTGTCACCCAAGCCAATCTATTACTCCGCGACCTCAAGATTGCTCAGTGTGCGTGTATTTCAAGCGTGTAGGAGGACAAGGCAATCTGTGTTGACCGTAATTTACAGATGCAAAGCTGCCACCTCGCGCTGCATTTACCGCCCAGATTCTGGGCACGCTGCTTGGTGCCATCCTGAACTTCAGTGCGCACGCCACTTGTTGCATGACTACAAAAATCAACTGACATTGCACATGTAGTCATGATGAATTCAATCATAGATAACCAACGTGAAATCTTGTTATCTGTTCAAGGAACCAATATCTGGTCTGGCCAACAGCCACAGATGTACAACTCTCAGGCAATTGCGTGGGGTGGACTCAGTAACGAGCTCTTTTCTGCAGGCCAAAGATACCAATGGGTTCCTTGGGCTTACGTAATTGGACTTTTCATACCCGTTCCTTTCTGGGTCATTCACAGGTACTGGCCAAAGCTTCGTGCTGATTATCTTTATACTCCAATTATCGCGTACGTTCAGTGTTCCTTCAATTACTGACATCATGCTCACATATTTCACAGCTACTTCATTGGATGGCTTTGTGTTGGGATCAATTCATCTATTCTCTCCTACTTTTCTGTCGCATTCGTCTCGCAATGGTGGCTGCGTAGGCGCTACCCTCGCTGGTTTGCCAAATACAACTACATCATCGCAGCTGGTGAGTATTCCCGAACTTCATTAGGGGCCCCGGACTGATCAAGTGATGTAGCCCTTGACGGAGGCACTCAAGTCATGGTGTTCATCCTCTCGTTTGCGGTGCAAGGCGCTGGTGGGACATCTCACCTGTTCCCTGCATGGTGGGGCGCGAACCAAGGAGGTAATTATGACCACTGTCTCTACTTAAACTGAGATTAGTGATCATCGGGTAACTGTGGGACTTATGGCACGTATCGTTACTACTAAGTGACTTGTATCCATTGTATTTAAGTATATTGATCATATAAGAGAATGTACTGTATATATGCATGGTGCAGCACTCTTTCCACGCCTTCGACTACGTAGCTGAGACGAGGAGCGCAAAAAAACGCCTCACTGAATGCGTGCCACGGCTGTAGAAACACGAGGCCGCTAAGCAGCAAGTGCGAGATCCTGCGCTGCCACCATCGCCTCTACCTCAAGAGCCTATCAGAAAATCACGAGTTTACTTTTTGCCCACTTATGTCCAACTTTTCGCACGACTCGGTAGGAAAGTTGTGTCAGGTCGAAAAAAGTTGAACCAACTTTTTTCAGTAGATCTCTACTCAAATTCTACCTATGCTTGACTTACTGTCGAGATACGCACCTAGGTTCGACCCTACTTGGGTGTGACCAAATGAACATTAGAGCCTGTCGGGCAACCATTATTTGGCCAACTTTACAATATGCACGTTGGCGGCATGCAAGCGGCTGTGACCGGAGTCTGAACTTTCTCTGTTTCCGACCATGGCCATCAGTAAATTCACACATTCCTTAACATCCTTAATCAGCTTATCTCACTTATCTCAAAACTTGTTTTCTCTCTCTCACATCATTCACCTGGCATATCTGATATTTTTTTAATGTGGAACATAATAAAATATGTCCATTAATACATCTCAACATTTTTTTTCTTAATACATTCAAGTTGAAAATTTCAGACAAGTAGATCCACTTTCAACAAGGTGGTTAAGTGTGAATAAGTCTGTTTAAGGGCAAAATAAGGAATGTGTGAATTTTCTGATGCTGACTACACATGCTCTTTCCGGTCAAGTCAACTTCCAGTGGCGAAAGGAGATTTTTGTTGCTGTTATTGTCATAATCCTCTGAGGTGGACTTGCAGATTCGGTGGCATCGTCAATTTGATGCAGAAGTGCCTGCAGCCAAACACCTGAAAGGAAAAAGTGGGTCGGAAAAAAAGGCTATT